GTTCATGGGACTTACTTCCAGTTATGCATGTAGTTAGGCAAGTAGCAGGGGCTGAATTCAGCCCAACTGGTTGCAGAGTGGTGGTTTCGGGAGTTCAGATGGAAGCAGAGCGTACTTAGCTCTTGGAAAGAAGCTAGAGAAAAACTGAGGACACCTCTGAGACCCCTATCTCTATCTCTAGGGTGTCTCCAGCTTGTTCTCTATTGCTACAACACAATACCACGGACTGACTGGTTTATAAGGTGAAGAATGTAGTTCTAAGGGCTGGGCGGTCCATGGGCGTAACTATGGGCAGGGCATAGCGATGGCATTTGATGATTGCTTTGTGCTTCCATAACTTGGCATAAAGCAAAAAGACAAGAACAATGTTTTAAAAAGCTAAGAAAAAAAATCTATTTATGAGGGCTCTGCTTTCATGACCTAGTACTTTTTAGTAGGTACCACATCCCTAAACTATCCCTTCAAAGATCAGGATTCCAACATATGAGTCTATATGACACTGGAATAAAACCTAACAACTTTCTATCTTAAGGTTCTGAACTTGCAACTTCTCTGCTTGGGGTGATCTGCCCTAAACACCTGTGTATCTTGTTTTCCCTCGTTTCAATAACTGCTTTTCCATCACTCTCTGCCACCTCTTACCTAATTTTCTTCATGACATTTACTACCACATGACATTAAATATTTGTTTGCTTTCTTCTGGAGAACAAAAATTCATGTAACGCATATTGACCTCAAACTTGCAATCATATTCCTGTACTTAGTCTCCTAAGTACAGGAATAACAGGTATGTACCTACAGATATTTTGATTATTTTTTATTGCCTGTTTTCTACTTTGTTGTTAAAAGCAAAACTCCATAAAAGATTCTACTATTGTATCCTCTAAGAAAGTTTTACATATATATATACTATATGATAGACCAAAAAAAAAAAAAAAAAAAAAAAAGACACTTGCTAACTTCCAGGAAAGTGTTGTAGTGGCACTTCTGTTGTTGTTGCAACAAACAACTCTTCCATTAAATTTGAGACTTGCTCCAGAGGAGGGAAGCCATTCCCGGTACTATGAACCTGGTCAAAAAATCCTTGTTGAGACTCTAGCAGGGAAATTTGGATATTATGGTTTAGCTAAATTTTCATAGCAGCACCTGTCTCATAAGTATTTGTATCATACGCATAGACAAATGTTATTCTTATCGTTAATCAGAGAAACCTTTTTTTTTCCCCCTCAGTGAATGATGGTGAATGCAGAGACTCAAGTACACAAAGTGCTGAGAACAAGTGATGGATGAGTGCTCAGCCCTAAGTAAGACATTTATTCTAAACCCCTAAGGCTCAGCGAACATTATGAAGGAGAAGCTAGAAAGAATGTAAGGGCCATAAGATAGGAGAAAGGGCTGCAAAATGCTATTATATGCGAAGACATAGCCATTGCGATCATAGATTCACAGTAGCTGCAGATGTTTGCACTGGGGCTGCACAAGAATAGGCTCATCAATAAAAGCCAAACTCAGACAGAAGAGTGCATCGTAGGTCCCTATCCTTCACTGCCAAACTGTTTGCTACTGAAAGAGTCATGGAGAGGTAGTAATTACCTTCAGTTGTGTGTCCACTAGGCTCAAATGGATTAAATTTAATTGTCCACATAGATGGCTTGGGTTAAACAAAATGAATCACAAAACAAAAGTCACATGTCTTAGAAAGGGAACTGGGAGGGGGCAAGGGAGATTGGAAAGAAATAAGAAAGAGTATAGTGAGAACTTAATCAGCACACATTATATACATGCACAAAATTATCAAAGAACAAAATCAGTCAGGAAAAACATTTTAAAACACTTGTAGAGTAAATGCATGTCCTATGTTTACTTTAATTACCAGAATTTTGAGTGTCTACTCAAGGAGATGTTTGTGAATTTGGAAATGGTGACATCTGGTACTCAATTTCACATGTAGCTTACACTGTGTAACACACACACACACACACACACACACAATGTATTACTCTAAGCCTTCAGTAAACTTTGTCTACACACATTGTTGGAGGGATGCCTTGATGGCAATCAATTACTCTCCTGTGGGAGTGGCAAGCGCATCTATAGCAAGAATTCAGAGAAGAGCCAGGAAACCTACCCATTTATAGATAATAAGGGTCTCTCTTGAAAGCCTTAGAAAACGTTAAGTTGGAGCTCCTACAGGATGTGAGCATGAGGCTTGTGTCATTCTATACAATTAGAAGAAAGGGTGACCCCACAGCTCTGAGGAAACCTCTAAATGGGACAGGATGAAAGTTACAGTGGCTTATTCTGAAGATGCTTTCTCAGAAGTATGAAGAACTGTGTCACGGGGGCAGAGGTAAGCAGGTCAGTGTTGAGATGACACCTGCTGCCTTTGAGTGTAAGGAACAATATGCCTGCTTAGCCACTTACATAACCAAGTCTGTCAGCTTTCCAGGTGAACTCTAAAGGTCCCTGGCACTACCGAATGCTGCATCACTTTTCAGTTGGACTCATTACAAACACCGAAATCGATGTGTTCTGCCTCTCATTTTCTAGATCACTTGTGACCATCACAAGTGTGTGTTCTCTGCACTTCTTTAAATAAGAACCAGACAATGTCTATGTCTTGGCCCATAAAGCCAAGCATTGGCTTTGGTTGTGAGGGGCCAGGCTTCCCCCTCCATTTCCCTCTTCTGAAAATATCTCAGATGAGGCGCTCTTCTGAGGACGGCCACAGGAAAGCTCTTTCCTGTGAAGCTGTGGTAAGTCGAAACCTACTTCAGAGAACACAAAGCCACCACCCTGGGGGGCTAAGAAAAGAATGGGTGTTGTGTGATGTTAGATGTTAGAAAAAGAAAACCTCAAACTACTCGATTAGAGTTGATTTCTGTATAGGTCTGCGATCAAGTTTGTGTTTAATCATCTTTCATTAAGAAACAATGGAAGATCCCATTTTCAATAAATACATTCAAAGGTGTTTGGTTTTAACATTGCTTGTGTTTTAAATGAAAGAAAAATAACTGAAAGTTTCTAAAGGCATTGTTAGCACCTCTTCACTGGAACTAGTATGATATTTGTTCTTCACCAAAAGGCCAAACATCAGAACAATTAAAGTGTAGTGAGCTATTAATATCACCCCAAAGGCACCGTAGAGAGGTGTATAGGTGAGTAGTTTGCTGCTAGATTATAACACCCACCAATCCCAAGATGCTTCTGGCCCATACTCACTTCTTTGCTGTAGTGTGATCATCTAGAAATGCCCATGGCCCAAGAAAATAAAAACAGCCAGAAAACTTCCCATGACCCTTGGAATAGGCTTCTTTGATGGTTGAGGCCAAAATAATAAGGAAAAGATTAGGAGGATTTCATCATAATGGCTGAAAAGACAAAATACAGCCCAAAACCCAAATACCTCTCAGACATTCTCTATGAAGGAACCAAAGCACCCAAAGCAGAACATAGGCAGAAGATCTGAGGAAGAACAGTAGATACTTTCCAACCTGAGGCTTTGGTTTTGTCCTTCAACTCATTCAGGAAACATTTGTTGGCTCTTTTGAATGGCAGGTTGACCTCAGTTGTCTCGGTACATTCTCTTCTTCCTCCCTTGTTTAATTCCTGGAAATGCCAGGTACCTAATGATATCTTTCTTCTTTCTAGTGTTATGGATTAGGGTATGTTTCAGTTTTTTTTTAAACTTTTCCTCCCATTTGTGGCTTCAAACACCCATTGGGTAATCTATACAAAATTCTATTGAACACACACACTAAGTGATACACCTATCAATTCTTTTCTGAACATCAGAGGTCAAGTTGTCTACCAAAGACTACAAAGTGCCTTTTCACTATGGAGCATGTGTCCTTTCTACTCCCCAGGAAAAGATGAGCTACCATCAAATATACGGAAAGTTGGGTTGGCTTAACATTGGCCATAATGTTGGTAAACAAAACTCAGGATAGTGTGAGGTTCAGAGGTTTAGAGAAGAGAAACCAACAAAGATAGGAGAATTTGTCACACAGCTCTACTCACCATTGCAAAGTCCTCTAGAATACTCCAAAGTCATTGTGAATGAAGAAACCATGGAGAAAAGAAACAATAAGCACATCTCACTGGTTTCCAAATATATATCCTTAATGCATTTATGTATTCTATAATGTAATTTTTATTTTTCTTTTCTTCATTAAGAGGCATAAAACATAAATATTGGTTGTATTAAAGAAAAACAGCATTAGTAGCTGATAATAACAGATTTTTGAAGACTATTAGCGTTTATTGCCAAGAAACATTCAGATATCTACCATCAAATGCAACACATATGTTTCTAATGTGTACTTTATAATGTACACATTGTATCTTTATGGCTCTTTAGAATCTTTCTGCTCTCTCAAACATACGAACACACACAGACATCATTGCACTGGAGGTACACCTGCTGTGCAGAGAGTGATTTCTGCTTCAAACATCCCTCTTCTCTGTTAGCATAAAAGTTTGGCTCAGAAAACATAAGTTAAAAGTAAAGATGCTGCCAATGGGATACTGGCTACTTTCAGTCTCTAGCTTATCAGTTCAAACCTAGCCTCCTTTCGCATCTCTTGTATATTCATATCACAACTATGTGCCTAGAAGATGATCTCTTGTGAGGTAGCAAGTAGATCCACCCTGGAAGGTGAGTTTAAAGGTATCCTCTTCAATGGCTAACATGCTCTTGGTCATTTAATACCAGACAGTTCCTTCTCTGTGCCTCTGTGTTGTCAGATGGCAGCCCAAAGCTTTATGTTCCTTAGTCACAGTCTTCCTCCCATATGGCTCATGATGGAGGCATTATGGACCACTCCATAGACGTCTGGGAAATGAAGGATAGTGGACCTGTTGGACCTTGTGATCATGAGGTCTTTGCAGCTCATGTAGTCTCAACTAATCTCAACTGGTATTAGGAAGACTCTCATGTAAGACAATATTTCCAGTGCCCGTGATAAGAAATAATAAATCATTTTAAAGTGCTTTTTCTTTTAAAGCTTATATAAGCCAAAAAAAGTCTTCGATTCCTCAAAATTAATCATAGAGAGATGAGAGACATTGACATATAAATGGTCAGCACTGGTAAGATTGAATATTGCCCCCAGGTAGCTGCTGTGGGCCCATATCTGGCCAGTAGCACAGTAGTTCAAATTCTTCTCCTCCATTAGCACCAGATCCCCGGGATACTTAGAGTTCCTCATGTAGACCTTGTGGTTTAGGGGCTGGCTGTTGCAAGACTGACCACGGAAGTATACTTTGGAATATACAAAGTACAACCCAGCATCACTGATCAGAAGGCCACCTTTCTTATATTTCACTCCCGAGATCAGAGCCATTCCATACGTGTCTTCCCATTCCAGAGAGGCGGACCTTGAGTTGGGGTTTCCTGTAATAAAGCAGAGGGGAGATTTCAGCCAGAAAGTATCACACATCTGACAAGCTAAGCTTTCGAGGCAGAACTGTGGAGCCTTCCTTAACAAAAGTTCGATCCAGAACGACAGCTGAGGAGTCAAAACATGACCCAGAACTGAGTTTTTTCAAGACCTTTGTCAAATTGCCCACATTGTATCATTTTAATCATCCATGTGATCGGGCCTATGATGAATCTCAGGGAAGATTATCAGGATAATTTCATCTTTCGGGAATAAACATTTTATGCTCTAAACTAGTTTCAACACGGCTGAGCTTGGGGAATCCCCCCGTTAAGAAAAGGACTTCTTGAGTTCTACATCTGGGCAAAGTTACATGATTATGTGGCCCACCTCCTCATTAGTTTGGATTCCTTGAGCTCTTATTTTGGGCTAATCACCTTCCCTTTTAGTCACACAGTGTTATCGACCTACACACAGCAAGTACTCAGTAAGTGTCCATGGACCCAGGTGAACTTTTCTACAGTCTCCAAGTGATTGCAGGAAACATGATATACCTCTCTTGTGATATTTACCTACATTTTTCATGTTTATCTTTTTTATGGCGGTGTCCAGACCATATTGTGCTAAGCCACTTCTCCATTTCATAATCATAGGCTGAAAGCCCACAAATGTCTCTTTTTACTCAAAATAGTGCATCATTCACCGTCTGGGGCACCTCTTGGACCTATGTCACAAGTCTCCTTGCAGATTTTGGCATGTTTGGGAAGAGTACATTTTTATGGGCAAGATCAAACCATGCACAACTCCATGGCATTAGGTTCTGTCAGAGTCATGAGATTCAAGAGATAAACATGGTCTCGGGTGGTAAATACAGTTGTCAGTAATACTTTCCAAGAATCTGCAGTGGAAATTGAGCAGTTGGTCCCTAATTTTCCAAAGGTTTTCTGTGCCCACCCACTCTTTCCAGATACAAACCTGTTAAGTGGGCCACACACCTCGGCTCTTTTTTTTCAGAGGGTGGACTGGGGTGGCCTGCATAAGAGAGACATAAAAAACACATGATGGAAATTTTTATTATTAAAATTATCAACTGCTATCTTGGTGAGACTCCAGATTCCATCATTTAAATGCAAGATTTTTAGAGCATGAGAAAAGATCTAGTACACATCCATCAAGAAAAATCTAAACTGAGGGATTCATAAGAGTCTGTATTTAAAAAAAAAAAAAACAGTTAAAAAGACGAGTAGAAGGAGACAGATGCATACATAAATTACTTTACAATAAAATACAGGGAACACAAACACTTGCACAAAGCTGTCATTTCAGTTACTCCATTTAGAACTTCCCTTGGGCCCTTTAGATTGAGATTACCGCCCTAATTAAAACTGGCAAAAAGATATTGGGAGCTGACTGGCTATAATGGATGTGCTGTACGCCCCAGGCAGACTGTTAATCTAGGGTCTGTCTACTCTGATTCTGATGACTGATAAATGTCTAGCAAAGACTACTGATTCGGCTCCTGGCCACCATTCCACACTCTATTCTCAGACTAATTGTATTAAGATTTCCTCACAGATCGGGAGGTTGTCCACAATTTTACTCCATCGTGTCACCTTAGTCTCAGTTCCTCAATAGAAGGTACCAGCCTCATTTCTACTCCATCACATCAAACACTGGTACACAGGTCCTGTGACCTGTCTTTCCCTGCTCCTGGGCCTCTGCTCATTTGAACCCTAAAATGTTTGCCTTTCTGGATTGTTCTGGCTCCTCCTTGCTGGGACAGCTGTTAAAAAAAAATGTCTTTACTTTCTTCTTGTTCAGGAAAACAGAACCTCATGGGAATAAGCACTATGATCTACACTAGTCCTAACACTGCTTGGGCTTTGGGAGCCTACCCACCAAGTCTTTCCTAATGGCACTTCGCTATATGGTAAAGTCACAACAGCACTTAGCCTTGCTTAGCATAGCGTCAGTAAATTAAATTGAAGTAATTAAAATTGAAATAAGATATATATTTTTTCAATAAACACCATTTCTCTAACTTCAAATATTTCAGCTAAGGTAGAAATCTATCACTGAGCTTCCTGAATTCAGCTAATTAATGCTTTCAAAAAGTGTCTACAGGAAGAGACTTGTCCCCAAGCCTGAGGTGGACAAGTCCCTTCCTATAGATATTTTGTGTGTGTGGATACAACATACACTGATTGTGACAATAGCCCAGTTTACTGAGAACATTGTCTAAACCATCATGCCCTCTCTAGCACCTAGGATGAGCCACCTTTAAGGAAGCGTGAGTGAGCAGGATAGACAAGACTGGACCTTTTATACACCATAAATGATGATGCAAGCAGCTGGCCTGGCATCCTGCCATGCACTAACAGGAAATGGAGCAGAGAACCACACACTGTTTATCTTTATATTCCTCATACAGTCTAGTATAACGTTATTCTCATAAAATGTGCTTCTATAAATATGCAGAGTTTCTAGAACTATCTAGAAATACGAGGAATGACTTTTTCCTGCCTTGGGCTCTTTGCATGGGCAATGTGGACTGTCCTCCTCAAGAGGGTTCTGATCTATCCCCGTGCAAGAGCAGAAACCACTTTATAAAGGGCTTTCCCAGACCACTCTGCATGGTATCATTCTTAGCACAGTTTGAAACTGTATTGTTGGCTTGTTGGTGTTCATCTTCTCCACTATGTTGTAAGCTCCATGAGAAAAGGCATCTATCTTTACCTCTCATTCTCAATCACCAACCAAGACTCAGCCTTGGCCATAGGAGGTTCTCTAAAAACCTTGTATATAAACAAAATATCCAATTAGCTAACCATGGGGAAGGTAGCAGGATAAGAAGAAATAGAGCTGAGTATATGGCTGAGTGAGAAAAGGCACTTGCTGCCAAGCCTGAGGATCTGAGTTTGATCCCCGGAACCCACAGGTAGAAGAAAAGAACCAGTTCTTACAAGTTGTTCTCTGACCTATACACACATACATGTACATGTGTGTATGTAAACACACAATAAAATAAATGTTTGAAAAGTATTTTAAATGGAAGAAAAAAATCTATAGTATCTCCCTACAAAGAAAACCCCAAAAAATTACTATGTTGGTTTGTTCTTTTCTTAGAAGTTAAAAATATGTACATGTACTTCATAATGAGTATTAAACTAAAAATGACCTTTGATAACTTATCTGTTTATTTAACAATATAACATGCACAATATTCTTTAAAAGTCCTAGCAGGTGGTTTTAGTTGCTGTTCATGACGTTCTTTTACTAATGTGTCACAGTATGTGCAACTCATCTCTTTTTCTGAGGATTAAGTTAATTCCAAATTGTTGCTTTATAAGAAAGTGTTGAAATTATATATGTATATGCAATTATATACACATATATATTCATATATATGTATATATACAGACATATGTACAGACATGTCTGTATGTATACATATGTATGAATATGTCTGTATATATATTACCTCCAACTCTTCTACTGAGAGAATCTTCTAGTGATGAGATTGATGAGATATTTCAAGCCCTTGCTATAAACTTTCCTAGTGTTCTTCATGATGCTTACAGCAATTTCCAAGCATGCTGGATGAAACTTGTGCCAAATATGGTCTATTTTTTTCCCTCACGTATTGGATAATCTTTGTTTTTTTTTATTTTTGTGAATGTGATAGAAGAAATAAAATGCCCTTTTCTTTAACCCAGCCCCCCTTAACAGTAAGGTTACAAGTTTGACTTTCTTGTGACAATTTATCAATTTCTGGCCATCTTCGTTGAAATAAAGAAGGTAACTACTGGGGTAGGTAGACCTGACTCATCTGTTCATTTGACTTTTATTCACTGAAATGACTCCATAGAGTGGGTGAAGAAGTGTGATAAACATCTGTTTCACAAGCCACACTCCACTGATTTACAAAGTGATTTAGAAATCCTGAGAGGTTTCGTTTTTCTAACCAGTTATTTCCACTGTCCTTGTGTGATCAGGGCTTCCTGGTACTTAGAGACTTGACTGCAGAGCTGAAAACCAGTGCACACCATGGTGACCCCTGTGAGAGCTTGTATCCTCAGGCCAGAGCTGACTGGTCACTTTCTGAGAGCAGAGCCAGCCCTCCTCTTTATGGATGCCACTGCTGCCTTTAGGCTTCCTTCAGAGTTATTAGGACGAGGCGTCAACTATTGCCTTTGCAAAGGCCACCTGCTTTTCACTTCTCATTTCAGGGCCATTATGTTTCTCAATGAATCAGAAAGCCCTACAGGTAACAAGGCCTCCAGGGGATTGTTCTCCCAGTCCCAGTTTCATACCAGGAGGCTTGGGCATTGAACCTGATTGGTCTAGTATTTTGTATTTCTTCTGAAAAAATGGGGTAGATGGACCACAATTTCTACAGGTTCCTTCCCAACTCAAACAAAATCTAAAACTTCATGAACATGACTCCAAGACAAACAAAGCATATCCTGAAATCTCTGTTGAGTCTTCCAAAACACACCCCAAATTTTATGTTCAACATAGTCATCTTCCTCTTATCCTAGATTTTAATATGTGTCTGTGTGGAGAAGGGTGCTGTACCATCAAAAGCATCCTCTGTGGGAAAGGTATTCAGGTCTGTGAACGAAGGCGAAAGTCCTCCCCAAGCTTCTTATGATCCCAGAAGAAATACATTAATGTAAAAACATTTGTTTACTTCTTCAAATTGTTGTATCTCATAAAATATTTAAAAACTAAAGCTCAATTCTTGAGTAGAAGAGAGGACATCCTCAGAACTATTTGAGTCTGCCTCTACTCCCCTTCTGTTCCAAGGATTCACAGCCACCGTAATGTGAGATAGGACCAAGTTGCCCAAGGAAGGGGCCAAGAGAAAAGGTCCATGATTATATGTGTGTCTCTTTCCAAAGTCATGACCAAATTCACTTGAGTTATGCGCAGGGTTCATTCAGATACACTGCTGCTAAGCAATAAACCACACTCAGTATTTTCACATCGTTTTCAGAACCGGACTGAACAGAGAGTCAAAGTTCTTCCGGACTCTTGCCTACGAACTTAAGCCCAGGACTGGAACAGAATCCCAGGCATCCTCCTGGGATTGAGGATCACTTTGAGGACTACTTTGGGGAGCTCAAAAGACAACATAAAAGCACTTACCTATTTGCTTTTCGAAAGGTGATACTTTAAGGCTTTGGTTGGTGAACTAGTGAAAGAGAAAAAGAGTCATACAATAAATGGTGACTTCCTTAAGCCAGGAGACAGAAGTCGCATCAGTGTGTGCAAAGATAACTCAAGTACTTCAGACCCAGGCCTGACTCAGACTTCGGCCACATAATTGGAGTAGTACTAAGATTTCTAAGTATTTTCAAAGAGATTTAGTTTACACTTTGAAACAAGATTCAACACTGATTTTCTTCCTCGAATTGCTAAATATGAAAGAGTAGGAAGCTCAAACAACACTCTTGACAACAGAGAGTGGAGTAATTATTTGCCTTGCATTCTCTAGAAGATGAAAAATATTCCCTTTGAGCAGTGTTCTCAAACTTCTTAAAGGCTGTGACCCCTTAAGAGTTCTTCATGTCGTGGTGACGTCCATCTATAGAATTATTTCGTTGCTACTTCATAACTGTAACTTTGCTACTGCTACAAATCCCAATGTGAATATCTGATGTGCAGGATATTTGACAGGTGACCCCCTGTAAAAAAAACCGTTTGACACCCCTCCTTCCCACAAGGGGTCGTGACCCACAGGTTGAGAACCACTGCCTTTGAGGGACTGAGCCTGTGTCTCCAACTATAAAATAGAGACTATAGCAACCCTTTCCCCAAACAGAGGGGATTAAAAGGATCTTTGCCATTAAAAACAAAACAACAACAAAAACAGCTCATTGCAACACAGTGGCCCGCATGGAGCACAGCAGGCCCCGAACCCGTGCAGTGCAGCAGACTCGTGTTACACGCGGGGACTTGGGGTTATAAATCCACGTGCCAGGCTTACCTCACGGAGCTCTGCCAGCTCCTTCTGCAGATGGAAGAGCTGATACATTCCTAACGCCAATCCAACCAGAGCCACCATAACCATGAAAAAGATCACCGGTAGCCACAGTTCTGTGTTGTGGTTCTTCTTCTTCTGTAGAGGGGGTAGTAGTGGCAGTGGGGGTGGGGGTGGTTGTGATGGAGGTGGTAGTGGTGGCGGAGGTGGCGGTGGTCTCCTTTGGTCTGGCCTTTCAGGTACAGAGGATGGACAGGTTAAAACTGACTCTGGAGTAGCCCAAGGAGAAGTGGCACTGTTGTCCACCCAGTAGATTTGTGGACTTGGGTAATTCACAGGCTGCTGCATGGCACCCAACCCCAGGAAAGCGTTTCTGTTTCTCTCAATCTGGCGGAGACTGGAGTGTCGTGTCGCGGACGGGACTCCTGACGCTGACTGCTTCAGAGAAGGTACGTGGGTCTCTTTTATAGAGTTTCCACAGTCAAGGGAAACACCTCTTTCCTGTGTTCTCTTTCTTTGCTGCTCTGTGAGACACCCACTCACGTTGCATCTGAAGCTGAGAAGCCTCAAAAAGCTCACAGCAGTCCCGGGAAGTTTCCGCCCACAAATTTCTGACGAACGAACGTCTTCGAAGTTCCAATTGGCGTTCCTGTGCGAGGCAATCAGGTTTACCTGCCTGAGGTCCCAGTCACTAAGTTAGTCACTGGATACACCTTGAGGACCTTAGCTATTCTGCAGCTGCAAGGAGTGCCCCATAGGGTGTGTCCTGCAAGGCCTGTTGGTGCTGAGGCACTGGGAAAGGACCATGGAGTTTGGCTAGGGAACTTACCTCCAGGTCTGAGCTTTTGCACGGGGAATCTAATCCCCTGTTGCTGCCCCATCCTTCTCTACCTACCTCAGCCTTGTATATCACCATCATTTCATAACTGAGAGGGTAAATGCCGCCCCACCCATTCCACAGATTAGATCAGAGGTTGCAAACCACGAGCCCTTGTGTCCTGTGGTACCAGAGGATTGTTTTCCTATCAACAATGGCTTTTCTTCCATTAATTGCTCACTTTCAAAACTGAGCTCACACATACTAAAAATACGTGCTTCTATTCGACAACAGAAGATTAGCCATCCCCTGACCATCTCTGAACTCTAGGCAGCTGCCACCAGGAATGCGCTGCAGGTGTTCCAAGCTGCCTGCCCCCACTGCGCCTCCTATATCCGTTTTCCTTGAGGAAGAGGCCTTCCTGCTCTGTAATCATTTATCTTCGCAATCCCTGTTATGGCCACCAGATGAAACTTGAGGTGCCCAATTCAGAAGAGTTTGAGATGAGCAATTACTATGCTTTTTTATTTATTTATTTTTTGAATTTTATTTTTTTCTTATCAGTTACATTTTATTAACTCTATATCCCAGCCGTGTCCCGATCCCTCATTCCCTCCCAGTCCCTCCCTCCCTCCCTCATCTCCACCGTGCCCCTTTCCAAGTCCACTGATAGGGGGGACCTCCTCCCCATTCATCTGATCCTGTTTTATCAGGTATCTTCAGGACTGGCTGCAAAGCTCTCCTCTGTGGCCTAACAGGACTGCTCCTCCCTTGGGAGGTGGGGAGGCCAAAGAGCCAGTCATTGAGTTCCTGTTAGAAATAGTCCTTGTTCCCCTCACTATGGGAAACCAATTGGTTACTGAGCTACCACAGGCTACATCTGAGCAGAGGTTCTAGGTTATATCCATACATGGTCCTTGGTTGAATGTCAGTCTCAGAAAAGACCCTGTGCCCAGATATATTTGGTCCTTGTGGAGCTCCTATCCTTTCCCCATCAGACTAACTCCCCTTCTTTCTTATGCTTTTTTATAGTAAGTGTGCCTTCACCATCACACAGGACACACTAAAACTTTATTCAACATTTGCAGCAGATATAACTATATATCTTAGGCCTTTCTAAAACTGGCCACATACACAGCATTTATGTCTAACAACAGCTAAGAATTCATCCTCAGTTCCCATCATTTTCCCATTTTATTTCCCATATAAATTCCATTCGTTCCTATATTCCACCTGTTTGGCAATCTCTACCTTTTTAAATGTTCTTAGTTTTTATTTCATGCTTTGGGATTTCTGGGATGATCACCCTACCTCTCTCACCTATGGCAAACCAACACCTAAAGTGTTATTTTCCTGCTATTGTCATGCTGCCCCACCCCAGCTGCTAATTCAACCTGTTTCTCCTGACATCACTCTACTGGCATTCTCCTGATCCTCTTTTCTCTTGCCCCCGGTCATCGGGTCTTTTTTTTTTTTTTTTTTCACCTGAGACACATTTCTTATCTTCCCCTTATATTCACTATGACTGCTATCTGTATATCAGATTAGGCTCTCCTTGCTTTTCTACCTCAGACTCCCAGCTTTCTTCAGTAATCACCATTCTGTATTTTCACATCTGTCTTTGCCCTTCTTCTTTTGATTCGTTTTTTGATAGAAGAATCAGAATATTCAACCCCTACTGCCCTCCAATCACAGAGGGAGAGTCTTAGCTGAAAGAGACAAGAGAGAAACTTCCATAACCTGGGTTGAAATTTGGTAGTGACATCCAGCAGTAATGGCACTATTACTGGAAAGAGCAAGAAAGAATAAACACTCCTATGAACAGTCACAGGGACCCAATTGAATTGGTACCAAAACCTTATTAATGAAAAGAAATCATCATTCCAAGCAGAACTTATCTCTGTAGCTACTGAAGGAAATACTAATGTAAGAGCCGCAGGCTGGTGACTCCCCCATCTTGGAACTTCAAGCTGAGTTCTTTCAACCTCCTACTTCTATGATTCCAGGGAATCAGCAGTAAAGTTGACTTCAATAGACTACAGCCAGAACTCCAGAGGTGACTCAGCGGCTCTAGAGAAGGTGATATATACTTAGCCAAGGAACCTGCTATTTGCCTCAGGGAGCCTAAGGAAGCCCTCTAAGGCAAGCTTCAAGCAGACAGATCAGACAGGAAGCTCTCAAATGTGAGCAAAGACCACAGTACAGGCCAAGTTTGAGTTTCTTTGTTTATTTATAATGAATACTGCTTACTGCAACATAGTAGCTGAATGACTAGCACTTGCCTGTGCTTTAAACTGGATAGGTTTAGTCTTCAAAAAAGAAAGAGGGTTTGGTAAGTTTTTTCCTGATGGGAAGGAGAAATATCAAGTGTAACTTGTTTCTTAACACAGCAGACTGAAGGGCGATGTCAACAGGCTGCAGGGACAGCAGCACTGGGTAGAAATTATTCTCCAGCCCTTTATACCATATGCAACTGTATCATTGTGATCTCAGAACTATTTGCTTTCCTTCCATGGCCCATGGATATCAGTCAGGGCTGGTCAGGAAAATGTAAGTAACTAGAAGTATGAGGAGTAATGGAAGACTTAATACAATGTAAGGATTTTTTTTTTTAAAGTTACGAAGGCCAATTTTTAAAACATTTAAAAGATAGAACTCTTGTTACAACAAAAAAAAAAAATCCAGTTCCTAACAGCATTGCGACCGGTGATGGTTAGGGGGCCCTCAAGACTGTAGGAAAACACCCAAAGGCTTCTGCTGTGCTCACCCGTTGTTCCAGGAACTTCTGTGAAGAGCAGCTACTTCTCCTTTCCATCTTCTAACCCTTACTCAGCTGGCACTTCCCAGTGAACTCTCATCAGGATCCTACCCATAATGGAGACTAGGAATAACCGTAATCTCTAGGCTCTACCTTCCTGGAGGCGGAGGCAGTAGAAAGAAGGGGACAGAACTGAGTATTAACAAATTGTGTGTTGTGCTTTGTGTTTACTTATTCATCATCGCCGAATTCATTAAGTAGGTCCTGGCTGATGAGTGAAGGCAAGAGAGTCCCAGGTCAGGAACAGGACCTCTCAGTAAGAAATGAGATTCTCCTGCCACCTTAGCTGGGAATGCTATGTGCTCCTCTCGCCAAGGGCACTGTAGATGCTAGGAGTTGGCTAGCAGTCTTACTATGGGAACATGATTACACTGCATCTCCCTTCCACTAAGGTGGGTCATATGAATCTTTATATTGCTAATTTCTGTAAATTTGAATACGGTTTTGCACCATTTCAAATGGTGTACCGGCGGCTTCCTGTTGGCCTTAGGATAAAATATGAACTCTCTATATTTATTTGAACTTCTTTACTTCCAAGGTCCTGAAGTAACTATGCTGTAGCGACACCACAAGTTGACAGCTGAGCCAAACTTACAGCCTAGAGAGGGTCTAATGTGAGGATGATCATGAGAACATTAAGGCCAATTCATAAGCAATGAAGAGTCTAGTACCTATGGAGCAGTAAGGAAGAGACTCAGGGTGTGAGGCACACGTCACAAATACCTATTAAGGCTGGAAATAGGTGGGTCTTGTGGGCGCCTGTTTTTGAGACAGTGCCTCATGTACCCCAGGCTGGCCTCAAACCCACTCTATACACAGACATCAATAACTTGAACTCCCGATGCTCCTACATCCACCTCCCAAGTGCTGGGATGGCAGGCCTGAGCCACCCCACTTACCTATCTGGAAGGATTGTCTTAGGGGACTCTTCTTGATGTTTGAACTTCTTTGTTACAAAAACACATACCACGGTGGGTTTGTGGGAAAGCACACTCACCAAAGGCTGACTTAAATGTCAAGGTCGTTGCTTTTGTCACCCACTGTTTCCTCTGAGTACTTTGTAGATATTGGGTAAGGCATGCAGCTGGATGCTTCGACAGCTGAGGTGAATCTCACGAGAAGTCACTTTTAAGCACATACTTCCTCAGTCTGTCTCACAGATTTACTTGCTGTCTGTCACAGACCTTGGAAGAAGAGGGACATTCAAGCCTCTTGTAGTAGTTGGTTATTTTATAAATAACTGCATCTCCCATCCAGGAGCCCAATTTGAAAATGATCCCTGCTACTGCTGTGTTAGATGTAACAGGGACTTGGTGACTTAAGCAATAGAAACACATTTCCTCCCAGTTGTTCAAGGTCAGAAGTTCAAGATCAGAGTGCCGCAGCAGGTGGGTTCTGCATGCTGAGGGCCCTCTTGCCTTGCCCCTTATTTCACAAAGATGGACACTGAGCTTCAGAGACATGAGAGGTTTCCCCCCAAGTGTCCAAGATCCCACAGGCAGAGAGTGAAAGAACCAGGAAGAAAACATAGCCTGACTCCTGGTGCCTTTCCATCAAATCAACATGTCTGTAAAGGAAAACACATGCATCTGGTCTCTGTTCAAGTCTACCCACATGTGTGTTCTAGTGTATTCAAGACACCATGGAGGGAGCAAGGGCAGGACAGGATAGCCCCAGGGCCTTAAGGAGCTTAGAGTGGCTCGTGATCCTACT